CAGAACCATAAGACTTTGAGCTGCGAGAAAGTTTTACAATATTACCTTGCTCACTTGTATTCCCACTGCCTAGTTGCTGTGACCTGGTTCCCACATAAACAGAATTCATGGTAGCAGTGGCTTTAGTCTGTGTCCTAGGATAGACAGAAGAATTTTCTGCCAACATCCTCCATTAATTCCTCTCATTCAATACTAAGAGAATTAGGTTCCTTACCTTCTCAGCTTGTCTCTTTTAACAGGAGCTGATGAGCAGTAACGTTCATACTAGCAGATTTTTTTGCTGCCACTGATTTATCTTTAGTTCCAATACCAGCCTACATCCTCATGGTTTATACGTGTCCTAATCCAAAAGATAATAGTCAGAGCCATATGACTAGACTCTTTCACCAGTCCATGCACACAGCCCTTGATTCTTCCTGTTCTTGTCCCAGAGCTCCTGTGGCTCTAACCAACAGTTTCTTGTTACTGTAGTACAGATTTGCAATTTATCTCTTTACCAGCAACATAACTAATTAGCGTTGGAGGTACTAAAGGGGCAGTCTAGCTAAAGAAGAAAGAAAAAAATGTATTGAAAATACCTGAATAGTCTGGTGTCCCAATGGAGGATTTTTATTGCAATGCTTTTCTAGTCACATGTCTTACCTGCAACTTCAAGGCATGACGACTTCCCTAGACTCTGGAAGATTTTTAGAAATGTCAGTGGTATGTAATGTCCCTTGTTGTGTAATGTTTCTTGGCCGGAGAAAAGTAGAAAAACCTCTGATGTCAGTTTACATCAGTGTTTTCATAATATATGCCACCATTCTAGTGTTCTCCGTCATTTATTCACAGAAGCTCATGCGGGGTTGAGAGTGGGGCGATAACCATATAAACCACTAAAAAAGTCCATATGACATTGTTTGTCTTAGAGTTACAAGGATATCCAGCCTCTTTATTTCATAGAGAAGACAAAAAGATGCCATCTGCACCTAACCCTTTGTTAGTGTTTCAGTCAGCCTGTGGGATTCTTGAGTACATGGCTTAGCTAAATACATAGTCTCCTCCACCAAGCAACCATGGGAAAAGAAAGAAGGCAGTATGATCAATGTATGTTTCACTACAGATTTTTTCAGCCAACAGATGTGTTCTTAGAAATCTGCAAAGATTATATTGCTCTGGCTTGTGCGCTAAAGTAAGCCTGAGAAGATCATGAGGAGGAGGAATGGACAAGTGCTCTCCAGCTTCCTTGTTTAAAACCTTCCCTGAGCTTTTTTCTCCTGAAGGTTTCCTCTCATTTTTCCTCAGATTTGTAGTATTGGTCACATTTCACCTTTAGCTTGTGCTAATGTATTTTACTTTCCATAAAAGATAATCCCCTTTGACTTGAATTCCATTGCTTCTCAGCATCTGATGTCTTTATCTCCAGTATCATCTATCTACTTTCTGTCTTCCCTTTCTCTTTTAGGCGTCAAGGTTGGGGCTAATGGAGAGGAAGAGATGAACAAAATTCAGGAAATATTATGGGATGTGAAACTCTAGTCTATACATGTTGACCTCTGTTTGGTAGATTCCTGTATCACATTGAAACATTGTCCCTTGGTTCTGCTTGATATTTGCTGACCTGCCCATGGTGCTGTCACTGCCACCATCTGAAATGCTTGAACATGCCACGTTTCATCATCTGTGATTTGTTGCATCCATTCTTCACCAATGTAAAAGGAAGGTCTGCTTTCCAAAGCAATCATGACTGTAAATTACATTTGATAATGTGTAACTGCTTCAGCAGTTGGGACAGTCTAATGAAAAAATTGTTTTAAACATATCCATCAGAACATAGTTCAGAGCAGCATAAACTTTCCACAATCAGAAAATATTAATGATGGAGGGACTAAATAGAGAAATATATGTGATGATAGAAACCTTCTGCCTGTTGAGGCTCTCTTTTTTTTTAACTATGAAATGAACATTTGGTTTCATGGAAATGGCCTTTATTAACTAAGCCTTTGTTGACAAAGTGCAAAGATGAAGAATGTAAATGTGTTTTGTTCTGCCAGCTTTTCTGGAATAACATTGATATGTTGGCATTGTAGGGAACTATAGCTTGCTCTTAATGGACTGTGCTTTCTCATGAAGAATGTGACCCCTGAAGATGAGCCCCTCCACCACTTCTCCCCAGACACCCCACACGTAAAGCCTGATTTTATTGATAGAAATACTCCAAGCAGAAGCACAGCCTGGGAGGTACTATGAGGTACTCCTTGCTCCAGGAGCTCTATGTTCCTCACATACTTCTGTCATCTGGCATTCAGAGCAGTGCTCCGTCCTTTGACACATGAAGATGCTAATTAATCCTGACTTCAGTTACAAAGAGAAGGGGGCTGTGGTCTGTGCAGAAACTCTTCATCCATCTTCATTAGTCTCGATGTTTAAGCTTCCAGTTTTATCCTGGCACTTCGCTAAGACTGTTGTTCTAAACTGATAACCTCAGTAGAACATTGAAGTGAGTATCTTCTGCTTATGCATCACCTAGAAAACAACACGCCCATTTTCTCTTTTCTGAACGATGAGAGTTAAAGCCAAGGTCACAGGTAGCCTCCCACCAGTTTCAGTGGCCTTTGAATGATCTTGAGCGTTGAGTAGGTTTTTAATGTACTAAAAGCACCACTGTCCCTTGGAAAGGAGTCTGCAGCCTCCTACAGTGGGCAGTAAACCCCACTCCATCCCCAAAGCAGACTCCTGTTCTGCTACCTATTGTTTGATGGGACACACAGCAGTGACTCGAACAGCATACATTAATGTTAAGAAATCCATCTGGCCAAGATTTACGTAGCATTTGGTAGCTATTGCTACTTTGCCCAGAAATACAGAAACACAGAACGTTAGGGGTTGGAAGGGACCTCGAAAGATCATCTAGTCCAACCCCCCTGCCAGAGCAAGACCACTTAGAGTAGATCACACAGGAATACGTCCAGGCAGGTTTTGAATGTCTCCAGAGAAGGAGATGCAATGCGTTAGGGAACTGTACAGTCATGAAAGAGAAGTCCCTTGTTAAATACACTCATTATTTAATATTATTTGACATAGAAATGCAGAGTATTTACTTTTTATGGTGTTTGCTTGGTTGGAAAACAGCACTCCATTTACATACTTAATTTAGCATTTCATTAATCCTCAATTTTTCCTTTCATTTTTTGCTGTTCTCAGCTTTATCATTCCTCCAGATGTTCCAGATGTACTGAGTGTAATAGGCAATTAGCGTAAAAATAGTTCAATCAGTTCATGTTATAAATCAGAGTAGAGACTAGGGTTACATCAGTGTGTACTAGCAGATTAAACAGAGCCTCTCTCAACCAGAGTAGTTGAGTCTAGTCACCTCTCTGCCATGAAATTATTTTAACTTCCAAGACAAGGCACTTTCACCCAGTTTTCTGTTTGGGAATGGTCCCTAACGTCCCAAGATGTGCCTGAGAACTGTTGGGAAGAATTTTGTTCCAAGACAGGATCATGCTAGGGCCATGCTAACAATTTCAAAGTAAAGATGATGGAGTTCCAGTGCTTACAGCTGGCACAGTTTAATTCCTTGGTAAAGGAGTAGCCTGTGAAAGACTATTTCTTTGGTGGTTAATCAGCATCACAAAGTCCAACAGTCTCTTCTCTACAGGGAATAAGGGTGATGTTCTCAGCTCTGCCAGGAGAAAGAGCACGTACTAACACTGTGGACCACCAAAGCCTCTCGGTCCTTCCATTGGAGAGGGCAGTCTGCCTGATGCTACAGTGACGTTCAGCCAGCAGTGGAATGGCTTGGCTTTTTGGGGTCCTGCCCTCAAAGGCAAGGACATGAGCTGCTTTCCTCATTTTCCATTCTTTTGAAGTAAGAGTCTTACTCCAGCCCAACAAGAGTACCAGACAGAAATGACCAAAAGTTATACCAAATTTCCAGTTCCAAAATTTTCTTTATATGTAAGCCCAGTAAAGTCAGTCATTCACAAGCTTTAATTCTGGGAAAATGTGTTTGCTGACTGACTATTCAAGTGTAAAAGGCATAAAACTGTCTTAATAATGACGGTAACAAGGATGTAAGAGCAGAACAGAAATTTCTTCAGGTCTGAAAGCAACCAGTTTATCAGATGTGAACAGAATCATTAGTGATCACATTTAAATGACAGGATTTAACAGCGACACTGCTATGAAGCTTATACAGTCTTACAGTTTACCAGATTTGCTTCATTTGAAGGAAAAAAAAGAGCCAGATTGTAGGGTAAAATCCAGTAATATGAGGCCATCTAGTTCGTATTATCACTGTTACAACTTTTGTCTTCTAGGCTTTGTTTTTTTGCCTCTGGCCTCAGATTCTGCTCTATGCTTATTTTCTGTGACTTGTGAAATATCTCATCCAATTGTGGATGCAATAAACTTGTTCTCTAGAAAGGTCACCATGGACAAAAAGAAAAGTCAATATTTGTTTTAATAAACGTGCAAACTGGATAGCTAAACACCATATATCAATCAGAATTGTACAAAGTTAGAAGAAAAATGAGAATTTAAAATTTAACTACAAAACTGGAAGAGTCAAAGCACTGCCTAGGAAAGCTGAAGCCTTTGAAAAGAAGTAGCTGCAAAAGTTTCTGGGTAAATGAAAGGAAACACTTCACCAACAAGGAGAGCAGAGGCAATGCCTACACTGACATGTGTCTGCTAAAATCAGGTGGCATTGTCAGAAGATTTGAACTTTAACTGTGGAGACAAATATACAGTGAAGGGCTCATGTGAAAACTAGCTTGCTACAGATGCTCCTGAGAATCCTGAGGAAGTAAGTGCTTTGCAGGGAGGACAGACATACCAATCCCAACACTCTGGAGCAGAGAGAAGCAGCAAATGACAGAGCACAGCTGAAAAGCCTACTTTGTGCTTTGTTTACCATCATCAGAACAGGCAGGGTGGATGAAGCTAAATAAGAGATTGTGATAAGGCAGTGTGAAACTGTTCTCAGCACTCGGAATCCTCTGTCACACAGAATTCATTCAGCATACCCCTGCTTGCTTCATATGTAAGGCACCTCTGCTTCTCCTGCAAAGGAAAGGAAGGACAGAGACATTGCAGACAGTAAACTTCACATTATGAACTAAAAACTCTCTGAAGTCCTCAGCCAACAACTTGCTAACAGAGAAAACACTATAAACATTTGTAGCGGACAAGAAGGCACTGATCTGTAAACAATTTTCTTTTAAAAATTATATATTTTATCCATAAAAAGCAAGATATTTCCAGTACCAGTTTTGAATTCTTGTATGACCTGATTTGGGTCCAGGTGCCTTGTTAGTCCTGTGTTGCTCACTGGACTCTTCTCTTTGCTGTCCAACTTCTACAGTTTCTGCTAGAGTAGGAAGTTGCTCACACAAATACCAAGGTAATTTGTTTAGATCATTGGACCTTATTTCTGGGAGAAGTAATCAGTCTATAATTAAGCAAAGCACTAGCGACCCTGAAAAGAATGGTAGCACTTAGGTGGAATGGAAATATCTGATAATTCAGCTAATCTCAGATTTTGGCTTAATCAGGAGTAATTACATAGTATTGTACTTACAGAATTGCTTTGCAGAAAGAGCATTTGTTGTTATATGTTTTTCCGTCAGAGCCACAAAAAGGTTGATACAGTCTTTCACAGTAAATAGGTCTTCCCCTCTCTAATGTCTTGTACTCGCTGCAGTCTACCTGCAAATACATTGTCATTTTTCTTTGAACCCATCTTTCTAATGTTCTCCATTCACCTGCAGAAATAATGACTCTATGAAATTTTGGACAAGTTTGTCAGCTGCTCTAGAGCAGCACAGTCAGTGGGGCTCCGCCATCTATCGTAGCTGAGCCTAAGCCTCAAAAGAGAAACATCCCTTCTGACAGAGATGTGTGTGATTCTACCCACGTCAGGTACTGAGCACCTTCCGGGACTTTGCTGTCTCTCTGAATAAGAATATATTCACTGGAAAAAACACAACCCCTTTTCCATCTACAGAAAAGTCTTAATATTTTTTTTCCTACCTGATTGCAATTGTCATTAAATGCAGGTGAGACTAGGCTGGAAGGGTTTCTGTCTCTTTATTGCACAAGTATCAGCTCTTGGTGCTTTTTACAGTGGTGAAAGGATCTGCCTGGTCAGAATTAAGTAGAGTCCTATTTAAGTGTCAGCATGAAAAGAAATTGTTGAAAGGCCCTCATCCAGTCCTGGGACTGTATTCATTACAGACTCATATATGAGAGTGGGAGTGCAAACTAATAAAAAATAACTGAAATGCTCCTGTCCTGGTTTTGGAACTCAGTCTCCTCTTGTCAAATGAATGTCATTCCTGGTATTTGACAAGTAAGGAGTTCTCTTTGCAGTGCATGTATTCTATTTAACGTGCTGTTTGTCATCCTCAAAAGCTTGCCCAGGAGCTCACCTGTCCTTATCGGTGCTGTTGTAACTGAAATTGGTTCAGCTTTTTTTGCTGCTAGTCTAGTGACGATTTAAAGCAGATTAGTCTTTGGAGGATCGCTATGACTGGAGCTGTTCCTTTCTGAAGATCCAGCCAAAGTACGTGTTATAAATGTACACATTTAAAACAAAACGCAGCCTTGCTATTCTCTTGTTATGGCCTGATTTTTTCCCCTTCATTCCAACTCTTAGTGAAGAGCAGGAATATTTCTTCAGCCAAATCCCAGAATTTATCATAGATTTTATGACTGTTTTTTTGCCCAGGGTCTGTAGGTGGGTGAAGTGAGGAGCTGAGTGCAGTCAGCCCCTTCAGCAGCTCAGCCCCTGTGTCATGGCTCAGCACAGACTGAGAGGTCTCCACTGACAAAAAGATGTTAGTTTACCTAGGTTTTTCCTTCATTTGGTACTTTCCCTCTCCTCCAGAGCCCTGGCTGCTCACACAATTCACACTCTGTGGCTGGAAAGCAGGAGGCAGCACACCTAGCCCCAACTGCAAAAGCAGGTCAGAGACCTGACATAGCTGACAGGTTTCCACAACAGACCCCAGCAGAGGCAGTGGCATGGAAGGGAATCTCTGTAGCTTGTAACTTACAAATTAAAACTGGTCAGCCACCAACTTGTGAGAGGCAAGGGCCAGCTAGCAAAAAAAGCTAGGAACTAGATGAATTTGCCCCATATATGTATGTGTAACAGCTGGTAAAGTGTATGTGGAAGATAGTTTGGTGTGGAGAGTGGAACAGGCTCCTCCTGGAAAAGGATGTATGTCTTGGTGTAGTTTTAGGCATCAGAGGCTGTATATGTTGTGCTAGTAAAGGACCAGCTCTGTGTGTGAATTTCCACTCCCTGCTATGTCCACTGGACTCCCAAAGGGCTTGTCTCTGCCATCTGCATAAGGAATTTTATTGCTTAGTGCCTCATTTCTTGCAGAGGTTGACCCCAGGATGGACACTCCAGCACAGTCAGAGAGAAATTAAAATCTCTAGGTACATGTTTTAGGATCTGAAAATCATCAAGAAAGCCTTACAGTATCATCACCAGATAAGCATTAAAAAAATCTTCATATCTCTGACTTAACATTTGGCCTTGCCCAGTTTTTTGCCCAGACTGCATTACGTGTAAAAACATCGGAAGTTGTCAGGACAACTGTGTGGAAACCACGTATCTCAAACTCTGGGATTTCTCTCTGAAATACTTTATCAGCATTTAATTTATGTTTAGTATGGTCTTTTAACCTCATGGACCTCATGTTGGCATAAACTACATATTTTTATCCAGAAATAAAGCAGAAAATGACTCACCTCATTCTCTTTGGCAGCATCTGCAACATAAACAGAATCACAACAGGTAAAATAAAAAATATTGTTGAGCATTCAGTATGCAGCTGGGCTGGTTTCATTAGTATCAGCCCTTCCAGCAATACCAGGTCACTTAACTCCTTGAAATTAAATACTGACATAGTTTTTCTGTGCTTAATAAGATACAGGTGTCAGGACCTATTAAACAAGTGAGCTTGATTGTTTACCTGAGAAATCTGTATCAGCAACTAGAACAGCCTTTATTGTCAGAGGCAACGGAGGTTTTTGCTCCCCTTTTTCACCAGAGAAAGACGGAAGGCGCAAGAGTCAATATTACGTTCAATGGCTCATCTGTTTAGGATGAACTAGTTGTTGAGCATGACTGTGTTTTACTTCCCATGTTTATTAAAAAAAAAAAAGTCATATGCGGCTGTAAGCAAATTACACGGTCCTTTTATACTTTGACTTTCTGTCAATAATGAGCATATCTTCATTAAAATATCATAGTAAATATATATAATGATGATAATGCAATTTGGATCATAATACCACTTTAAAAAGTGGTTTCCCTTGCCAGTCGTTACGGATTCTAAACTATTTGGGAGAAGGATTGGTTCCTATTTTGTATACACATGGCATCTAACATAATGAAGCCCTGTTCTCAGGTGGGGCTTCAAAAAGCTCCTTCCAAACAATGATAATTATGCCTCCCAGAAAGTAATGAAGTAACATTGGCGTGTCTCCATTATGATGACACATTTGTTACTTTCTTTAGGAATGTATTTAGTTCTTCTCTTGTCCTGTAATTGTCATTCTGTGGCTTCCAAGGGATAAAGTTATCAGGCAGAGTCTTCTATACAGAAGGAGCAGGAAGAAAATGCATAATGATCTGAAAGGCAATACAGCTCTAGCACTTGTCTTTCTGACTCAATGTAGCTTTTTTGGATCTTTTTAAAGGGATTAAGCTTTCTACTTAAACTTCCTTTCAAGGGGCTGCTTACATCTCCTCATCAAATAAAGTTGTCCAAGGTAAAGAAAACTAGCATAAATAATGCCCTGTGTCAAGTTTTAGTCTATGTCACCAGAACTTTGACTGAATTTTCATTATTTTGGAATTGGATCAGATTTAACCCATTTCCACAGAAACATTAAGGTGTTATTTTTTTCCTCTGGTAACCTTTTAGTATCCACTATGTGTTGGGGAGCAAGTGCAAAAAAGATGTGGCTCAAAAAGCATTGATCCATGAAGTTTTAATGCAGACAAGATAAACTAGAAGGTTCAGAGAAGGGATTTGCTGAAATTCTTATGAAAGCAATATTTGTTTCTTTTTCCACAGTTAATAAAACACTGTTTGAAAGAACAGTTTCCATCAAAAGCATGCCATATCATTGAAATTGACATTTTTCATAAGAATTTTGAGACCATATTCAAAGCAAACTTTTCAGAGGTATTCAAAATGGAAAAAGATTATTTTGTTTCATAATTTTGTTTTTGTTTTAACATTTTCATTGTTTTGCTTCTTTAACATCCATAATGCTGTACCACTAGCAGAGAGGTATGGACTCTCCTCTTTCGGTTATTCTAAATGTACTTATTTTTCTGTATCTTTCTTTTTTTTTTTTTTTATTGCAAGATTTTGTTAAAGAAAAAAAAAAAAAACAAGTGAAGGTTCAAGAAATTCTTCCCCGCTCCCTATTTTACTGTAGAGCCACCTCCACCTGTACCTCAAAGCCCTCTCCAGCCTGGCAAACTAACATCATAAAGAGGTTATTCACAGCCACATTATGTGGCCTGTGCATAATCAACTGTCTCCTGCTTGCTCAGTTTGGCAAGAAAAGGACCTCATCAGCTCCAAGCTCCCTGCTCAGATGGAAAAAGACCCCAAGCAGGTAAAAACCTGCTTTAATTCTGAGGCTTTACACTTCACTTTAGTTACACTGCAGAATGAGCTCTGGTTCACACCGCCATCAAAGAATAGCTTTTATCTGCTCCACTTGGCACCTGTAAAGCTGGTGTGATATTGCTTGCTAAATAGCACACAGGCATAAAATTTCCCTTGCTCTCTCCTGCCTAAGTCTAGCAACCATTGCTTACTGTCCGAGCAGACTGAGAATCTTACCTTAGAACTATAATATATAAGGAAGTAACAAAAGGTCACTCACTTGCTAAGCAAAGAACTGCCAGGGTGAGGAGTACAAAGGCGCCTGTTATCTTCATGGTGGACATGGGTTCTTGACCAGTTTCACAGCCAATTTGTGCTCTAAGTATTTCAGTACGCTTAGCTTGAGTGTGTATCCGTGTACCTGTGAGAGCAGGTATATATGTATGTGTGTGTATACAGAGAGCGGGAACCCTGATGATGAAATCCCCCTTGTAGAGAAGGTAATTAGAAGAAGGTGTTGCCCATGGGTAGTATCAATAAGAATGTCTTCTGTACAACATGAAGGTCATAAGTACAGGGCGAAGATGAGCGTCACGGCATGGATTGTGTTGATAAAGGAGATGTACTGTACTTTGCCTAATCCCCTTGCCTAATTAACTGTTTCCATTAGCGAGCTCAAGGAGTGACTCAGTAAGGTGGTTCTGTTATTGTCATATTGACCCTTGGAGATGAAAAAAATTCCCAGGGAAAAAAAATAATTCTTACTGGGTGCATGCCAAAAGGTTCATACCAGTAGAGCTGAAATGCTTAATTCCTATTCTCTTGAAATTTTGGAGACCTTTGTCGCTAGCTGTGGATAGAGATGATGCTGGTTATTATGGCCATGCACTGATCCCTTTCAGACTGCTCTGTGATACTAGTTGCTGCTTGGAAAAGTTTATGTTCCACGTGAATACCCTCATCTTCACGTACAGCCCAGAAGATCCCCAGTCTTTCAGAACCCTTCTGCCTTTAAAGTTCTACCAGTTTAGAGAACAGAAACAATGCTTTGAGACAGAAGAAGCAAAGGTACCGCATTGCACTGCCTAGCAAAGAGAAGTGATGAGTTTACAGCCATTGTGAATCCTAGCTCGGTGTCATGGAGCTATGGAGAAGATCCTTTTACCCGCCCATCTTCTCCTTTGTTGCTATTTCCAGCACAATAGGTGTCATATCTATTGTGAGATTCTTTAAATGAATCCAGCATACCAGTGTGTTAGTGACTTAATCAAGAGGCATAATTTTCTGGCTTTTATGATACAGACTGGGGGTAGAGTCACAATGGGAAACTCAGTCTTAATTTTCATGAAGTTCAAGTGATGTGGAGTTTTGAGCCTATAGTTTTGTTCAAACCCATCCTTCCACAATGGTCTTCTCTTTGATTTGCAATGTAGATGTGCAAATTGTCTCACTATGAAAGATCCCTGCATACCATTACAATTCACAGTATTTCAGTGATGACCTTCCCTACATTGCAAGATAGCCTGGGGCTTTTTCCCCACGCAGGAGGTAGGGTCATATGTGCTTATTTCTCTGAGACAAAGAGACTGAAAGTTCTTACAGAAAAGATTGTAATAGGTCAAGTAGACCTTGGGCCCCACTAACTCATCCCAGGAGGGATACGGATCATCTTGTCTTTAAGGAATGGTGATGAATAAATGGTTAATTTCTCATCACTTAATGGGACAAAAAAACTAGATGACATCAAATTCCAGTTCCGGGATAGGTAAAGATCTGGTTTGAGGTTGAGGCTTGTAGTTTTTTTTTTTTTTAAAATGCCCTTACTTCAGTAACTTCATTTAAATTTTTCTTTGTTCTTAACTTGGACATCTGTGCATATTCCTGTGAGGTGGAGATCACAAAAGCCAGGCTGTGATTTAAACTGGGATAGGTCTGGATTCTGCTACTTCGGGATGTCAGTGAAATTTTCATTCTGGAAATGAAAAACTTTGCTGAAGAGCCTGGCATAGAGCATGTATAAACTCATGGAGAATATTCAGGACATGTTCACTGACTGATGGGCAATTACCAGCATTAGGCAACAAAAGCAAAACCCAAAACAACCAGAAGGTACTCCTAGTCTGAATAGTTTTGAGCAAACAAGACTCTTGATACCTTGAAACTGTAAAACTACAGCCTGACAGAACATGCAGGTTCCTTGACATTGGTATGAGGAAATCTGCCACTTTGGTTACACTCTCTTGCCTAATATGGTGCTACAGAGTGTACTGTTTGATGCAACCTCAGTATCCATCCCATCTCTCTCGTGGAAGAATATAAACATCTGTTTGCGGTTTCCTGAGGACTAGTGTAGAAAGGAAGAGAGCATTTTTGGAGGTTGGAGGGGGGCTAGTGAGGGAGGCAGATTTTGCATTAGATTTTCCTTAGCGTTTGAAAGTTGCCTTGCTATTGGAGAGATTCCTTATGCTTATTCTATGTCCCAGAGCAGGAAAGTCATGGTGAGAATGTTTTCTTTCTGGTAAAGTTTAGGTGTTTTGATTAGGCATTTTGAATCAAATTAAGATTAATTTTTTGAGCAGTGGACCTTAAGCTTTGTAGTGCTTGCCCAGACCACTCAGATAGGAGCGATACAGTTCTGATAAGAAGCTGTGACATATTGAGGGTGTTCAAATAGCAACTCACTACAAGCGGGGCACAGCAGGGGGTCAGCCCAAGTTCTGAAGACTTTTGCATTTTGAAATATCAAATCTGTCTTGAAGCTTTGAGAAGAAAACTGCCATACACAGAAAGCAACAGTCTGTTTCACTTTCTGCTGTGAGGTAATACTTATATGCAAAATCCCCAAATTAATTTCGATAAAAAGCAATGCCACAAAGGATTTTTTGCAACTCCAGTTTAAAAGGATGTAGAAATATTTCTGTACCTCTATGCCTCGCTTTAAGAATGGGCAGAATTCACGTTAGCTGACTGGAGAACATAGTCACTGTTTGACTGAAAAAATGCTTCATCTGAGATGCCTTTCTGTCAAGGCTTGCAGAGGCTTGTTGTTTGCCCTGGTAGTCTTCATACGGAGCTGGTCTGACAACCTGAGACTTGACATCCTCAGGTAGGCCAAAGGTTCATCTGGGTCAGAGTGCTGTCTTTGAGAACATTCAGCAGCAGATTGAGAGGAGAAGAGAGTGGTTCTTCTCTGGGTGGACAAGTTGGACCTGAGGCGGTGGTTTGCCCCTATAATGAACAAGTCCAGCTCTGCATACTGGTCTGTGTTAGTAAGAATGTAATTATCAAGTCAAAACCAGCAATATTTCCCCCTGTTCAGCACTTACAAGGCTGCATCTGGAGTCCGTGTACAGTTCTGGGCTTCCGAGCACAAGAAAGACACTGAAATACTGGATCAAATCCAGCCAAGGACTGACAAGATGTTTAGAGGGAGGAAGCACATGTCATACTAGGAAAGGCTCAGTTTGAAGAAAGAAGGTAAAGCCTCACTGTTGTCTTCAGCTACTTTATCGGGAGTACAGAGAAGACAAGAGCCAAACTCTTCTCGGAGGTACACAGCAGAAGGGAGAGAGAGAATAGTGCAGCAAGAGAAATTCCAATTAGGTGTGAGGAAAACAGATTTCACAACGAGAGTAGTCAAGCATCGGAACGAGTTGCCCAGAGAGATTACTGGAGATATTAAAAAGGGGATCTGTTCTAAACTGGCCATGGTCTGGTGGTGGGGCAGGGATGGGGAGAACCGGGTGACCTCCAGTGGTCCGCTCCAACCTGAATCAATTCTGTCATTCTCATTGGCGAATGTCAACTGCTGCTGGCAGCCAGCTGCTTAGGGACTTTGTGGCATGTTGTATTTGTCCTTGTGAGTCCTAGCATTCCTAGATTTGGCAAAGCAGACACAGACAATAGAGTAGCACATTGGACTGATTTTAGCTACTTGAAAAAAAAACGTTATTTGTTGGAAAACAGGTGTTTGGGTCTGTTTAGTAATAGCTGCTTCCCAGAGTTGGATAAATAACGACCTAAAACTAATTCTGAAATTTATTGTAAATACTCTGTTTGGATTGGAAAATTATGAGTGAAAGTTTGGCCTCATCAGCAAACTCGTGCTGGTTTCCATTGAGCTGGGAGGTACCATTTGAATATGTATGTATGTTAATTGTGGGCCTCTGATAGTTTTCTACTTTTATCAGTGTATCTTGTCTTTTCCCAACTTCTTACCTCCCCAAGTCGTTATTTTGAAGCAGAAAAAGCAATGACTTGGAGAACAAATGTTTATTCACTTTAATCGACCTGTTACTTCTGATAAAATGTTAGTGCATATTTTTCTGAGAGTGAGAACATTGGTCACGTTTATTGATATATTGCTTTTATTTTTGGAGCCCCGAATGGAGTACAACTGTGATGCCAAATATGCTGCTGCAGCAGGTCATTAGTTAAGTGCCTGCGTTATTCCGCAGGGGAGGATGTTATCTGCCTGCACTCCAGGAAGCATTGGTGCGCAGTAGCTCATATGATGGAGTGCCCCACACTGAGGACATCAGCAGTGCTGGAAAAACGGCCCGTGGAACAGCTAAACCCCATTCTCACACACCGTGTGTACCTGGGAAGAACGTACAAGCCAAGTCAGATACCGGTATGGTCATGAGCGGGAATTCAGACCTCTTGGTGCTTCCAGTGAATGTTTATACGCAACCCGGGACAGGCTCCTTCAGTTTGATGGTGTGTGGGTGGTTAGGGTTGTCCACCCACCTGTAATTAATGTATCAGACTTTTAAAGTCTTGCTCAATGGAAGATCTGAGAGCCAAGTGGTGTGTTTCTTCAGGCATCAAACTGTGCCAAAACATTTGGGTATTTGCCTGAAGGAAGGTGAGTTTCCCATTTTCAACACCTTAAGAAAGATCAAAGGAGCCTTTCTTTAAAATTGCAGGTATCGAGCTGGGACAGATTCCAGCTGAAGGTTTCATGTGTTATTTTAGAAAGTAAAAAAAGCCCAACATCATGGCTCTCTGAAAGGCTGATCTTTATTCTTTTTCTTTGTATCTTTTGAGCTCTTTAGGAGAAATTAAAAGCCTGTGATACCTACTGTTGTGCAATTAGCTTGTGAATCCTTTGAGTTACTTACTGTCATACCATTGATGTTTCTGACTGACTTGATTCTTCACAGATATATGTAAAGCAGGCATTAACAGCTTAACGCTTAGCACTGAATGACTTGGACAATCAGCAATGAATAGGACTTCTTTTAAATTGCCTTCTGTTTTGTGTTTTAAGATGTAATTTCCAGGTGTTTAGTACTTTGAAGCTCTGTCACACTGGAGTCAGTCAAACTGAAATATTTGAGCA